TATCTACTGCTTCTTGCACAACTCCAAGGGCCCCCTTCACAGACTCTTCTATTTTTTTCATTTCCTCCTTCAAGATATCATCCACAGAGCCCACAGCTGTTTCTGTTCTTTCCTTTTCCTCCTCTGCGAATTCTTCTCTTGACTGCTCCCCTAAGGATTGTTCAGTTTCCTCCTCTTTAGATTCCTGGCCGTCTTGTTCTGCTGACTCCTCCTTATCCTGGTCTACATGCTCTTCTACAGTAATGACAGGCTTTTCCACAACAACGGTAGCTTCCTCCACAACAACGGGCATGTGCTCTATATCGACGGATGCCTCTTCTACTTCTTCCTTCTCCTCCTCTTCAATAACTTCATCCGCAGCTTCCTCTTCGAGTTTGGATCTGCTGGCAACTTCCGATGTCGGTCCAATAAGTTACTTCTGCCCTAATCTTCCCCCGCCCCTCGTAACTTCGTTAGCTACTTGTTCCCTAACAGTGCATGGCCTCCTCTTATTCTTTTCTTGGGCCCTGCTATAATGTCTTCGCCTGCTCCCCCTGGCAGCCCTCAACCTCCTCTGGGGTGAGAACCTGCAATTCAGATCCTTCTTCTTCGATACCCCTTCGGGAGACTATCCTTCTCTTCGTCCCCTAAGGGCCGCCCTGATTCGTTTCTTCTTATCCTTTTGTCTTCTGCGGTAATCGCCTGGGCAATATGAATTTGCTGCCCTGTTGCTCGGTTTTAGGGGTGGCAATATGTTTTTTCGTCTAGGTCGCTTGCCAGCCTGCTTCTTTTGTGGGGTCCTCAAGTTTGTCCAGGATGTTTGGGGTCAATACTGGCTCTTTGGCTCCTTTTTTCGGCGAACGCTGCTGGTTTAATAAATCGTGCGCCCCTTTGGCTAATGCCCTCTTTTCATTGTCATCTGTGAATAAGGATTCAGCTGTATTATTTTCTTCAGATATACTTCCCCTGTCCATATTATTTACCAGTTCGCTGTGGTTGCTTGGGCTGCTCCTGTTTAGTGTTTGTTGGGAGGATTAGGATGTTATGGGGGGCTGGGAGTTATACCAATGCTATTCCTACTCGCACAGACTGTTGATTGGGTTTTCTCAGTGTTGAATTACATGATTTTTGGATTCCTACGTCTACGGTGTATCATCTCAGCGGTTCGGATACTGGTGAATTGGGGTCGATTATTTCTGATGCTGCACCTGGGGTGGAAATTTCGGCTGGGTGGTTGAGCTTTAGAACAAATTTGTATTGTCAATGCTACGGTCGCCAAATTCTGAAGATTTCCAGGGTGAGTGAATTTGTTTGTTGGTAGTATAGATATTTCTACAGAAGTGTCGGTTGACGTGATTGCTATAGTTCTATGAACACCAAACTTCGGGAGCTTTCTCTTGAATAAGCAGTGATTGCTGAAGTGGACACTGTCGAACCTTCTAGAGTTTCATGATTTAGGTGTTAAGCGGGGGATTGGTTCTGCCGTTCTTTTTTTATTCCTTCCTATATTCATCGGTTGGGTTGTTTGATGCTAATTTTCTATATTTTATTCACTGCTAGGTCATTTCCGTCATTTACTATTCAATTGACTCCAGGGTAATATCTTAATATCACACTTGAAATAATAGGTGGGCTCCTTATCCTTAGTTCTAGCCCCTATGAGTTGTGGTCTCTGCGGTGTTCTTGTAGTATTCTTACTTGTTCACTTCTTTCCTACTGTTGGTTGGCTATTAGAACTAACTCCTAGAATGGACAGGCTTGGGCGTGTTTATCGGAAGGGATAAAATTAATCTCAACACTATATTAATATCGAATATTTGGATTTTCTTGATCATGATATAAATCATATGTACTCCTTACTTCAATATTACTCATATTTAGAGACTTCATTCATCCTTTCCAGGTGGGATGTACACTTACATGCTCTAACCTTCTTAATCCTAGCATATCAGATAGCAATGCATTATTATATATCTCCAGCGTCTTGGCAAATAAATCCACAAATTGTTCCGGTTTCTATTTTTACTATATTAAGATATATCATTCTAGTTTATAATTTTCCCCTCATAATAACGTCGTGTGACTAAGTTTATAGTACTCCTTGTTTTTAACAAAAGATACTCAGAAATCGTCCGCACTACCTCGGTTTTCCCTGTTTGATTCGGAATAATTGAATAGCACTGGACATGAATCCTATCTCGTCCCCATAAAATATGACACGTGCACCCTATAAAAGACAAGAGTGGTCCAAGTGTTTTAGGTCACTAAAGTTATCGTATACAATAAAAAAATTAGACTCCAATAACTAAAATACCTGCCCCCCGCTATAGATGTTCTGAACTTTAAACTTTTAGGACATAAAAGAATATACTGAGACTATCTACACCCTCCGATCTTTGCCAGAGTGGTAATTTCCTGAGTTTATTAATATACTCCAACGAGATAGTTATTCCTTATGTTGAGGTAAATTTTGTTGTCGTAATATCTTTGCACACTGCAGACTCAACGAAGGGGTTACTTTCTCTTTAAATTCGAAGGAATACAGAAATATTTTCCTTTACGTATATTCTTAATTAGATGGATTAATTGGAAACCCTAAACATTAATCACTTATCATAACAATTAAAATGGGTATGCAGATAGCTTCTATTCTTCTCAAATTTACATTGAATATGTTTTCATAATTGAATTCCTAATAGGGGACTTTGGCTGCCAATGGCCAATACAGAGGAGCACCCAGTTGGCGCACAGAAATACTTAGTTACATATTTGAGGTGCCATCCTATTTTTCAGGAATCCTGGTTATGAATTAAACTGAGACTAAAACCTTGGTTTAAAAGAATTATGAAGAAATAAAAATAAAAACAAATACAAAAACAATAGATAGATACATATCATCAAATCACTTTAAAAAGGTATTAAGATATCAAACACAGAAAATTGAAAAAAATACAGACATCTTAATAGACCCTAACGACATATTTCCTTGATCGATTATACACGTGTCCTATATTCTAACGGAATATCATGAAACTCGGTGAATTTTATGAATTTATTTTAATTCAATAGTATCCAGGTTTCTCCTCCACTGCTGTCGCAACTGATTCTTTCCTTTCAATATCTCGCTGTGCCTGCCTGTGCCTATTCTAATCTTTATAGGCCCTTATTCTTCTGCCACTCTTTACAATAAAAGACATATGAATATTGACCATAAGAGAGCTTATTTTGTCCTACGGGTATTTTTAAGGATTATTAAGGCTATTAGGCGTAATAATAACACCCTTAGAGATATTAGCCCCCATTGTATAATCATACTGTTACTTAGATTTATGGCGCCCTGTCCTGAATTTCTTGGTGAATTGCTTAAAGCAGTTTCTCTTCTTCCCTTTCCCCTTCTCTTGGGTATTTTCGCCCGGATCTGAATCTTTCAAACTTTCATCTAAATCATTATGCACATTCTTAGTACCTGCTTTATCACTGTCCAATTTTACATCTTTTGATTCATTCACTTCTTTGTTACTTGAACTACATCGGGATCCCCCTTGGTTAGATTTAACAGGCTCCTTAGAATCCTTCGATTGGTCCTTTAATAATTCACTATTCACTCTTAAACTAGCTTCGCTCCTTCCGTCGCTGGGTTTTGAGCCATAAGGGTGTTCTCTGAAACTGATCCTACACTCTAGGGGAGTTTTCCCTACTGCTTTGATCTCAGTTTCGTTTCCCTTGCATTCCCCTGGTCTGCTATCCTCCTTATCAGTTTTTACATTAGCACCTTCGCTGAGGTTGGACTTATTTTTGCTCTCTTCTGCATTCTCCAGTTGTAACCTTCCGCTACTTCTATCTGGTATAATTTCCGCTCGACTAGGGTTGGTATCAAGCTTTAGTCCATCAGGGCGAGGAATTTGCTCTATCCCCTTATTGTCCTTTGTCTGACGGTTCGCACTTTCCGATTTCTTATTTTTCGGTTCATACATTTCAGAATGAAAACGGCTTCCGCTTGTACTTGTGGGATGTTTTAATGGCACGGTTGAGATAGCCTGCTGTTCCCTACCTCCTTTTGCCATAGGACTGGAGCTTGCGGGTTCCAAACCAATTGGCACTTTATCCTGAGCAGCTATTCCCTTCAGACTGGTAGTGCTGATTTTAGAACAACTCTTATTTTCTACTGGCTTATTTTCGGGACTATAACTGCTGCAATTATTAGGCTCCTCCTTCTTATGTATGATTCCCTCTTTTGACAGGGGTGACAAAAGGACTTTGTGCTTTTCCGCCCCTGAGAGATTTTCTGTGTTATTTCCCTTAGCATGAAGATGTGTGTGATTATTAGAAGGACTCCTGTTGTTACCGGTAGCTTCCAGGGGATATTCTTCGATAGATTTTCCTGTATTTTGCTCTGGTTTACTCTTCTGAGTGTTAAAATCCGGGGTTTCCTTTACTGGGATCCCCCTTAGTGACATCCCTGATAAACTGGTCTCGCCCGTACTCAGGTGGCTGCTAGTCTCCCCGTCATCCTTGCTGCTATAAGAGTGTAGTTTATTATCTGAATTTTTCCCTGTCATAGCGGACAGGTCTAGTTCTGGATTCCCGGTTCTTCCTGAGGGGGTTGTTGTTGATTTATACACTTTGGAGTCCAAAGGGTTGCCTTTTCCGGCTTCAGTTTTGTGTACTGACAGTTGTGATAAAAGATTCCTGTTTCTTTCCCCCTCTTCCACATTGCTTGTGCCATGCCCCTTGCAATTAAGATGGGGTTTATTATGGGAACTTTCTTGTCTTAGCCCTGAATTGCTCACTCCAGATTCTTCTTTTGTTTTCGTTGCTTTATCTTCTGGCTTATTCATCTGGGAGTGAAAATGGTTCTTGCCCTGTGCTTGGGTGTTCTCTTTTGACATGGTTGACAAATTGAGCCTTTGTTGACTTAGGGTTGGGAGATTTTTATCCTGTTCCATTTTTGTTGCAACATTCACTTCGCTGTTATACGAATTCCTTTTTAAACTAGAACTAGGAAAATGTTGATTGGTTTTACTACTGGATTCTGCACATTCCTTTCCCAGAATGTTTTCATTGTTGGATATATCTTGTCTTACTGCACTTCCCCGGGAATGAATGCTCATTCTAAATTTCGCCATAGTTGTCTTTTCCTCAGTAACTCCTGATTCGCAATTTCTCCCAGGATTTAACGCCGGATCATTAGGTGATACCATGGGGCACGTTTCACTCTTGTCTTCAGCTAAGTTATTCTCTTGCAGTTCCTGCCCTGATTTTAAATCCCCCTTACTCCCTAGCATCTTCTTCCTGGTACTTAAATTGGGTCCCCTCTCGTTAGGGGAATTTGCAACACTTGCCATTTTGTTCCCTGATAGCTCGGTGTCAGGTGCAAGGTTCCCTACCCTGTAAGGTGTGTTACTTTTAGCCTTTTCTTCTGGAGGATGATAATTATTGCCACCACCATATGTGTAATTTTGTACCTTTCCCTCCTGAGGGCCATACTCTTGAGTATATGTAGATGAGTTGGCTTCTGACTGCTTATAGTCTGAGGTAAGAAGGCTTCTATGATTTGCCGTATTTGCTCTTTCACTATCATAGGGTGCTTTGTAATAGCTACTATTATTGGGATGATTAGCGTTTTCACCAGTATAGGGAGCCTTGTAATTATCACTATTACTTGGTTGATCAGCATTCTCACCAACATGTGGTTCGTCGTAATTTTTACTACTCTTGGGAGGAATAACATGCCCACCAGCATGGGGTGCCCTGTAAGGGCCACTACTATTTGGATAGTTACTGTTTCTATGTCCATATTGGGACTGGTAGTAATTATTACATTTCGGTATACTCCTTTCTGAGTAGTGATCCTGATTGTTGTATTCATGGTAAGAGGATAATTTCGTATTCCTTGTTCCATGGTGAGAATCATACTTCTCACTATGAATTTGTGTATTTCCCCCTTGGCCCTGGGATTTGTCTCGATAATTCCTATCGTAATTTGACTGATTAGACGCACTTGTTACACTTTGATACTGGTGATTAACACTATAATGGGGCTCATTTCTTCCCACCCCCCTCTGTGTATGGGGTGGACCATAATAGGGTGGGTAAGGTGGCGGATTGTTACCGTTTCCCGTCTGCTGATTCTCGTAGTAGCCACTGTAGTGAGGGTGGTTTCCTGCATCTTGAATAAATTGAAAATCGTAGGTTTCTTTACAATCTGATAAAAATTGTTTGACGTTCGTAATCTGAGAATCATAAACCTCCTTACAATCGGATATAATTTTCTTCACTCCAGGTAAAGCCATTTGCCCCCAATCTTTGCAACCTGATATAATCTTTTCTATTCCTGGGACGGGAAGCTGTGTCAATTGCGCCTGATCTGTAATAAACTTCTTCACTCCCTCGAATTGCGATTCACATGTCTCTTTACAATCTGATAACATTTTCATCAAGCTATTAAATTGACTATCATAGGCTTCTCCAAAACCAGGAGCATTTCTCCTTTCTACAAAGTTGGACCCAAAATTATTCGGATATGGATGTTTATTATGCCCTCCTCCGACATGCTGTGGCTGGTATTTATTATTATGAGGGGGTAGATGTCCACTTCTTCCTGGAATATGTGCTTCATGGTACATTTCATATTGAGCTAAGCTTCTTCCTCCACACGCAAAATGTGTGCTAGAGGAATTATTACAGTTCCTAGAACTCTGTCTCAAATAACATTTTTCAGAATCCTTGTGTCCCAGTACCAATTTAGGTCCTTCACTGTTTACAATGGTTTTCTCTATTTCTGAACTCTTATTATCATCATTTTCGCCTATTACATCGGATTCGTGCGAATTTTCAATTTTTTCTCCTAAGTGACTTCTTTCACATTCTTCTTTTTCACCCTCCAACTCGGAATTAGGACCAAACACCGATTTAGGGCATAAATAGGAATGGCCATTTTTATTTCTTCTAAATTCCCTTAGTCCCAGACTCTTTGTGTTTTGGATATCGTCAAATCCCTGTAATATTCTTCTATCTCTGTGGTATATTGGCCTCTCTACACTAATGTTCCTTTCCAAGAGTTCATCACAGAGGGCCTAAAATGGGGAAAAAGGGGAAACGGAGAAATAAATTCCTGATTAAAATATCTATTTCTACGCTAAGATATAGACAAGCATTCACATACACATTAAGACCACTTGTGGCGAAAAAAAAAAAAAAATCCGACAAAAAGAGGATTCTAATGTATCAATTACATTGTTGTAATATTGATATGTCCAGAAGCACAACGTCAGTATAAGAACATTTTTAAACCATAGAAAAACAAGCTTCTCTTTTGTGTAAGGCTTTTTTGAGACATTCATAATTGTAGCAGTAATTTTCTTAACTGTATTTGTAGGATTCTTCTAGAGTAAGATAAAACGATGCAGTCATCATTAGTTTTGATCATTTTTTATGTTTGTCTAAAACTGAAAGCATATCCTAATGCGGCCGTAGAGTCTAAAAAATTGACAAAAGTACTAAAGGAATAGTGACTACGAAAAATGTAGTTCCTACATATTATCACTGGAGAGAAATTTGCTTAAAAATAAATGCTCAGGCAAAATTATTATTATAGGTATGGGTCAATAACAAATTGAAGAAATGCGAATAGCAATCGTCCCTTCCACGTATTTCGTTTGTAGATATAGTCTATTGGGAATAATAGATAAAGTATTTCTTAGCTAATTAAGAAATGACGCGATTCCTTTCATCATAAGAAAGTGGCAATTGTTTCAACCATATGTAATTATTGCGGCATATATAAATATTTTTCACAAAAAAAGAAAAATAATAACAATATAGACGCTACAGCTTAGGACGATGCGCAAAATAAATCCTCTTCCGATCAAGTTTAATCATATATCACCAAGAAGCAATGTAACAAAAAAGATACCAATAAATGAAATAGGTTTCTTCCCACTGGTACGGGTCCTATACTATAAGTATTGAAGTGCAGTATATAACGTATTACTTTTCTATTAAAGCCATAGAAAAAAAATTAAAATGGATAAATTTAACGTCATAAATAAATTATCTTTACTAAAAGTTCTTCTCTTTATCTTAACTAAAAAGTAAAAGAAAGAAAACGTTCCTTTCGGCAAAAAAAGTATATTTTCGTTACGTTTGAATAGAATCCGACAAAAGTGCCCAACGTTTATTTTGCATATATAATATGACTATATAAAATTATAACATGCAAATATTCACATAAAAACATAATATGCATGTATTTTTAAAAAATTTTTTGCATCAATTGTAAGAGAAAGAAGCATTCCTTAAGAAAATTTATAATAATAAACAGAAGTGGCGCATTTATATTCTTTCCTCAACGGCAAATAATCCCATAATTAACCTTTGCACGAAGAAAAAAGTGAAAAGTTGAGCATTAAAGAAATTTATAAAATCAAATTAACGCAAAATCGGTTGTAAGAAACAATTCAGTTGCGGTGAAAATTGTTTCATCATAGCTATAGTCTTTTATGCAATGAAGGCAAGGAAAAAAATGTACATTTTGTAATGGATTAAACACTGAAAGACGTGAAATGGATGATCGAATCGTGCCCAATAAAAAGGTGAAGATTCCTCATATTTATTTCTTTACTTATTTTCTTTTTTTTTTTTCATATTTGCTGCTTTTTTTTTTTTTTTTTTCCTTATTGAAAAAAGTTCGTAATTTACTTGTTCCTTTCTCTTTTTTTCACAATTGCTTCTTTTTTTTTTTTTTTTCCCTTGAAAAAAGTTTTTAATTTAGGTTTTGACTTCTCCAAATATTTCGTAATGGGAAGGTAGAAGTTCTAAAAAAAATATCATGTGCAGATTCCTTCATTTTTTTTATCTATTATCATTCATAACGTACTTGTGTTAAAATAATAAATGCCGATTTTGAACTCTATCAGGAATATGGCATCTTCATTTTATGTGGTCATTTTTATCCACACTTTGAAGTATAATAACGTATGGAATAAGAAAAAAAAAATGTATTATATCATTTTAATATTCTATTATTCTATTATTTCAGGATAAGACATTCCTTTTGACGCCGTAAATTATCCTTCCAATTAAAGCAAAATTTCAAAGCCGACATATTTGAATTACCCCTTTTTCAGTGTTATTCTATGAGACGAAGGGGCTGCAGTGGGTTAGTAAAAGAGAGTACAGTGCGCATCACTTATATATATTTACATATATATAGTATATGTGCATATGCGTCAGATGGATAAATTGGTTTTTCCTCATGTAGAGATGTGCCTTTTCTTCTCTTCTAACATACGTAGTTACAACAATGTCTTAAATAAATCTCATATCCGAATTTGCAATATACACTCTTATAGTTTAAACACATGCTCGCGATTTACCTCATCTTATCGAAGATGTTCGTTTCAAAATAATGTCATTAACCAATCTAACAAATCCCTGAAAAGCTATTTCTATGAAGAATGAGGAAAAGGGAAAAAAAAGAAATAACACCTTTTCTCTTTTTTGTAAAGGATAATTTCTTCTGCTTTCTTTAATTTGTACGTTGATCTTTTCGCACATGAACCTCCTGAAACACACCTTTCATGGTATCTAGGATCCATAAAAATATCCATTTCCAATTTCATTTATTGACTCGCTTAATAATGTAAAGTATTGTTCTCATATTGCTTCGCATTGAGTGGGGATTGTTATACTTCATCTTGAAAATATGTTCATTTGATCAATAGAGTCCTCTCCCATTCCCTGCATATTACTATATTGATAGCTCCCCATATTTGCAGATGAAATGATAGTCCTTATTCCGCTGTATCATTTAATTGTCTTTCCTATCTGGTAGAATTGTATGTATCCGTTATTATGCAGATTCATACATCTTATATTTTTCTCTCTCGTTTTTTTCTCCTTTTTGGCATGTGTCTTCCATTTAATTCTAATACGTCTTGATGCGTTCTTCCTAGTTTATACTACTCTCTATATGATGACCATCTCGAAATTAATCCCACAATTTTTGGGATCATTCAAATATTTCCGCCGACCATGTTCTCTCTCTTGAAGTGCATAATGCCTTTTCGCCTCATTCAAGTAACCCACCAGCGCTGCTTACTCTGCCACTCACCGAAATCACACAAGCAGGCCAAAAACGTCTCCGCCCTCTTCTAAAATATTTCAAAGTTATCTGGAGAAATTACAGATTAGGGGATAAGTCTGCATTAGTAATGACGTGTTAATAAAGGAAAAAATACAGTTTCACTTGGCACTATCTTCTCTATCTGCGCGTACAGAGGCTCCTCATGAATATGTATTTATGTATGCATCGATGCATGTGTACATGCACATAAGTTTTCTTAAAAATTTAGTACCGTTGAAATGGTCGCACGCCAATACACACTCTTCAGTTCACGCTCACTGCATTCATCCTAACATATCCGATTCGGCATTAGGATTGCGTCCCCTTACCAAGTCGATATGCCAATTCTTTATAAACGTTCAGTTGCTCTTTATGCACTTTATACCACATGAATTACGGAGTCCTTTTAGATCAGATAATGTTAAAATGTATTCCTCCTAACTGCAAGTTTTGCGTAATGCCGGCTTCTCTTGATTTCTAACTCTCTAATTATTCTACACTGCGAACATGCCTTGCACAGACTGTTGCATAACAAATTCATTCTATAAAATGTAACTTCTCCTCCGCAAACTATAAACTGGGGAATATGAAGTTCGATGAAAAAAACGAAAAAACGAAGTAGTTCGTCCCTTAAGAAACGCTGCGTCACTCTTAATAATAATCTTTTCTGAAATGAATGTACACGTATTTGAAATTTCTTTAGAACTCCCTTCTGGTTGCACGGGGTTTCAAATATGTTATGGGTACAACATATTACACACACACAACCCCTGCGAGGGAAAAACCTTCTATTAATACGTTTCTTATATGTATATAGCATTATAATAGGTGAAAATTGTTTCAAAAAGTTCCGCTTCGTGTACATCAAATCAAAAAATAGACACAAATAAATCAATTCTGATTTAATATAAATTAGAATTAATTAATATGTACCCATTTTTACAAATAAATTTAATGTAAAGCTTGTTAGGCATATTTTATATATCCTAAGAGAATTATAAAATATTAATCAAAAAAAAAAAAGGAAGAAAAAAAAAGAAAGCATAAGGCATGGGAAAAATATACAAGTATGTCATGCCAGAAATGTTATTACATTTCCCTAAGAGATTCTTAGAAAAAATATGCAACAATAACATTTTGCAAACACATCTGCAAGTGATATTATGCATTTTCTTCCTTCTTCTTCTCTTCTTTCTTTTTTTATTATTAAGATATTCTATGTAACAAATTCTAAGGGAATATATTCAACGTTAAAACATTCAATTCGACAGCGCCCGAAAAAGAGGATAAGGAACCCCCCCTCTTCCTTGTGTAAAATAATATATATACACTACAAAGAAGGTACTTAAATTATTTACTTTCTACACCTTAAAAACAAATAAAAGAAATAAAAGAATAAGGTAAAAATTAAGGAAAAATAAGGTAAGAATAAAGTAAGAATAAAGTAAAAAAAAGTAAAAGCAAAATAAAATATATGCAGCTTAATGAGAAAACGAGAAAAAAACGAAGTCTTATGTGTCCATAAGATATTGACGTTTTATTCGTTTTTGCTTCTTCATTTTCTTCCTTAGCTCTTTAATATAAAAGCACGAGAATATATAGGATAAAGTACTACATATTATGGGTATCGCTACATAATTAAACAAGGAAAACACGACACCTGCAACGAAAGAACCGGTAGAAAGGGAAGGTAATAACTTCACAACTTCTGCATTATATTTTTTTATATAATGTTTTATACGACTTTTATTCCTAGAACGCCTCTTCCTAGGAGGTACGGTGGCTAAGTTATAACTTTCGTAATCTTTACCTTCCCCTTGATTTACAACATATTCACTACTTCTATATGTATCGTGTCTGTTTTTTAAAGGAAGTGTGTAGTGCTTGTCAAGAAATGCCAAATCATCGTAGTCGTCGCCATCATCATCTTCCAATGCATTATGGCTACCATGCTCGGAAATTACATATCTAGTGCCTCCTAAAGTATGAGTATCATATGTATCATCGTACACTGAATAATCATCCCTTCCATATGATTTGTGGTGTCCACTGTATCTTTTATATTCGTAGGGAATTCTACAACGACGCGACAGGCAATCATTAAATGAATAATTTGAAAGATTATCTTCTTCAGAGCTTGAGCCCTCATCATCATCGTCGTCTATAAGTGCATATCGAATATCCTCATAATTTCGATCAGAATTGCTAAAAGATTTGATATCATCATAATCCACGTCTAGACGGTTTGTCCTTTGAAAAATGTGGTGACCTGATCCTTCAATATATCGCCGAGGTAGCCCCTCAAGATATCGACGGTTTGGTTCCTTAAAATGTAGCCGATATGGGCTTTCAAAATGTTGACGAAGTGGATTCTCAAATTTTTGTCCACTGATGTTTTCAAAATTTCGCCTATTAGCACTTTTAAATTTTCGTCTTTTGCGAGTTCCCACATTTTGGCGCCTAATCCTCGCACGGGTTGCACCATTCCAATTCCGGTATCTTGAATAATTATAACTATGTTCATAGGAAGGATAATTATGGTCTTGCAAAATCACATAATTAGCATGACCAAAGGTTGGAAGATAACGCGTATTGCCATTATCCGAATTCAAGAACCTTCTTGCATTCCTTTTTTCTGCATAACTTGTTCTACTTTGCCATCTGACAGAAGAATATGAATATGACCAATCACCTGCTTTATGATACTTGTTCTGATTTTCTGTCAATGTTCTGTTTGTATCTGCATTAGCCTTGTCCTGTATCTTAAATTTCTTTTCCCAGACGGAATGGCAAGTGCACTATAAAAGGGTTAAAATAGGCCGCACATAAAAATGTGTAGGGAAAATAAAAAAGATATATATTTTCTATTCCCTCTATTGCTCATTTCGTGTGCTACACCTCTTAAGATGAAGAATGCAAAATAATACAAAGGGTAAAAAAAAACACATGGTCGCAAAATACATTAAAGCTATGTAGAGAAGCCCCTTACCTCAACAATGTTAAAACGTTCTAGTGTCCATATTGAAATAATAAGTAATAATAAGTGTGTAATAAAAATATTTAACATATTTATTTTTCCAGCTCTCCTACTTGATTCCTCAATGTAAACATGTGGCCCCACAAAAAAAAAAAAAAGAAAAAGAGAAAAAAAACGAAGAATTAAACTCTGCTCTTTAATAAAATATAATAATGATTAACGGCCTGATTTCGATTTGCCGTAAGTCATATTATATTTTATTAAAATCACTTTAAATTTTAGCATTGTGCGTAAAAACTGATTCGAATAAATAGCTTCTGATTCCAGGGGGGTTAAAACATAAAAATATTAAATGATGGAGTAAATCAGATCAAGTAAAATGTAAATATTAAAATTTATATTACTTCTAATCTACTGTAATTAACAATGTTCCACTGCGATAAATTTAAATATGATGCTCTCATTACATACATATATAGGTGTACAACACTTTGATAACTCTTTCTCGGAAGAGTCAATAAATTCGTAATTCTTTTCTTTCCTTTTTTGCTAGGTTCTTCTTTCAAACAAATAGTGCAGCTGTTCAATTTGAAATAATCTTCTCCAGACTTTAAAAAAAAATAAAAAGAGAAAAAAAAAAGTAGAAGTAAAATAAGGAGAATTTTATTATTATAACAAAATATTGAGATATTCAAAAGCTTATGTGCCCAAATATTGGTATATTCAAATGTTCAAAATGGTAATGTTAAATAACAGTATTCAAAAGTGGTACCCTAATAATAGTACCTCCAATAGCATCACATACTCGTATTATGACATATGCTTGTAACAATTTATAAATGAAGGAATACAAGTTACCAAAGAGTTGCATGTGTCGCAGCATGTTACAGAGGCACAAAACAAATAATTGAATTAAAGCTATAACATATAGACATATATAATATTTTAAACATAAAAAAAACAACAAATAATAAATGTTTCATTATATATACATATAATATATTATATATGCATTCTTTTCGTTAATAATCGAAATTTTAAACAATTCGTTCTTTTTTTTTTTTTTGAAGATTATGTACAACATAGATGATAAATTATAAAAACAAATCAATACTATATTTTCATTGCATTTATAAATATATCCATACCAAAAATTAAATTAAATAATTCTTATTGTCATCATAGTAAAAATAATGCATCATTTGACAACGATATCCAGATAAGAAATCGCATAATTTGTTTTAACAGCAGTATATTTTTTATTATGCTGTTTTTTAAATTTCAGCAGAAAACGTTTATATGATAAAATTTTAATAGCATTATATGCACTTTTCCACTATATATCTTCTCTTTTATTTTTTTTTACTATTTTTTTTTGTTCAGGGTTTACCATATTATCATATTCATTATTGCACGCTTAGAAATAGTCCTAATTACGTAACAAAAAAGTGCATAATACAGGAAAATATCATAAATATAAATAATATATGCATTACGTACAGATGAATGAGCTTCATTCTGTTGGAAATTTAGGAAATAGGGAAATGAAAAGGAAAGTGTCCTGAATAATCAGTTCACGAAATAGAGTACAGTAAATTCTATAAAGTAAAAATATCAAACCGTTATCATCATATCATGTGTACTAGTGCATTTACCTTTTCTCGTGCCGTTCTCTTATAAAAACTGTGTTTGCGAAGAAAAAATTTACATAAAATGATCAAATTGTTTTAACAATTCTTATTAATAAAAAAAGGGTTTAGGATCTGCTACCTGTTCCTAATCAGATTTATAAAATCCATCGAACTTCGAAAAGCATAACTCACTCAATAATGATATATTTCTCTATCCAATTATATTTGTTCATTATATGATAAAAAAAAAAAAAGGAATCCCATATTATTACAAATATTTATAATACCAGGTGCATTTTTTTCCTTCTAATCCTTTCAGCCTAATGCCAAGACATATATATTTTAGCCGTAATCTTAATTCAAATGAAATTCCTCTTTTCATTTTTTCTTCCTGCTAAGCCGCCACACATTACAACTATGCTCAGAGTGATATATTAGAAAGGACGCAATATCATTTTCTTATTGCATTGGGCGTTTGCCAACAACCTCCCTGCGTCGTCCTATAAATTTAGATCATTTAGTAAATATTTATTTATTTAAATTATTAATATCTCCTTATAGTTCGAAAAGCAAAAGGGCATATAAATAAATGGAAAAAAATATCATAACAGTATTTCACTCCCCTTCACTATTCGGTATACATAATATGTTACTACATTTACACTACTTTTTTTTCTTTTCTTCCTTTTTTTTCCAAAGTTAATCATTTTGCACACTCCTGTTTGCTTCCTCTTTGTTTTTTTCTTGAAACTTTTTTTTTATCATCCTTTGTATCACTTATTCTTGAGGAACTGGAAAATATCTGATTTTGAAAATTTGCTGAGAATGATATGACGGAAACGTGATTCATCCTCCTTATTACCACGTTTTGTTTTTCCTATTCTTTAATTTAGCACAAATAATTGTGTTTTAGCATACGAAGGCATAACTCTTTACACTCTGATTCTTTCTTTCTCGTAAAATTCTTTATTTTCCCTTATACTTACGTAGTTACCTTTGTTGGAAACCTTTACGCACATTTTCTAACTCTTAAGAAGCAAACACATATGGTTGTTCTTCTCTGCATACACACCATCTCAATCCATTCAGCATAAAATTATCTCTGTCACGTCATTGCACCTTATAGGAGTAAAAAAAGAGGACATAAAGAAACAATTAAGGAAGAAGGAAATTCTTCCTGTTACTTCCAAAAAGGATTATTCAATTGAGTGTCTTCGTTATGGTAAAGTGATTTCTCATTAGTAGTTGTTCTTCCATCACAATACGAACCATATGAAATTCTAAAAAAAAGACATACACTTTTTACCTACTTCCGGGAGTCAGCTCATTTGAACAAATTTCATTTATATGTTAATTACACAAATTGTGTGACATATATATTGCTACTCCTCTTAAGAGTAAAAGGTTACCTACCCATGCACATATAATTAATAGTAACAGGAGTGGCAGTAGTAATCCTATTAGCCTCGACACTTTTAGGGAATTTTCTGCCCATGTCATGAGGAAGCACTTAGTTGCGGTAATCATCTTAAATTTTAGCAATACAATTCGACTTTTGAAATATTGAAAATAATTACGTCGTTACATATGTCATAAAGTGCAGTGTGTCCCTGTATATTTTCTAAAACCAATTAAAGCTTGAAATGCATTCCAAATTGGTTGGCGCCTTCCCGAACATATAAATGAAATAAAATTTTTTCTGAACAAAGATTAAACATCTTCGCTAGTAATAATGAGACATATTTTTACACCTTTTAGGGCAAACCTCAGTTATATTAGCTCACAGAAGAAATAAAGGTGTCCCCTTATTATATCATAAATGGTGTCACTGAAAAAATGGGTTTGATCCTCTGCATGAGTGCCATTCCCTTTGCTTTTAATTCGTTCAGGGCCATAAAATGTCTCTCCCTCTATGTGTACCTATATATACATATATATGCATGTAAATATGTACGTTTGGGCGTATTTTCACTTGTTCGACTTCAATTATCACCGGTGCACATTACGGACAAGGGAGACAGCTTGCACAGATCGCTCCTTTTATTCGGCCATTTTTTAGCGTATCACAGAACTTCACCCCATGGTATGTGTTACAGATAAGCAATTAGCTTATATCCTGTGAACACCTATGCTGAAGTGTACAGGGAGATTGAAAAATAGGTACTTCTAAATGTTGTTTTTATTCATTTTCTTTTATCTGGTTTCCTTTCCTTTTGTTTTTATTTGGAAGGAATTGGGCTTTTCTGTAATCAAAACTCTGCAAATACAAGAATACGCTATCGTTTTGTAGAATCTACCTCCTTTCCCTTCCTTCCATGAAGTTGCATGAAACTGTACACTGAAAGCGTAAAGCAATAACCCTACTTTATCTATATGATTCATGACAGTACTTCATCCTGCAGTCTTTACATTTTCCTGTCTGGGGGTAATAATAGCGGATAAAGTATAAAATGTCCCATTTGTTTTGTTTTTAACAAAGATTTGATTATAAAAAATTTTTACCTAATTCTTATAGAATCTTTCTAATTTAAATATTATTAAAAAAGGAAAAAAAATGTACACAGAGGGAGCCCCCATTATATGAAAAGTTCGACACAAAAATGATGTGTATAGACCCGAACGAATGAATCAGATGTCTATGTAACTAATTTTTCACCCAATAAATCAAGAAAGCGTATTATTATATGCTTATTAAAATGGAAAATAAAACATAGTGTTTATGTCCATAGAGACTGACTAAAAATTTAGCTACAATAAAAGGGCATAACCACACCGGTATGTCCACACATAGGCAGGTGTACACGTAGATACCTACCTGTGTGTATTAAAACAAATCCATAAAAATTATACTCATGGAATACATTAGGGGAAATTCCAAATTAAAAAAATATCATAACAACGCAACCATGGCAAAAATAATGAAAATATTTATCAAGCTCGACAATAGTTAAAAGGATTATCAAATCGCAAATCCCCACATATAATGCATGATAACAAAATATAACATTTTTGAAAAACACATAAAAAAATTAATCAAATATTCATTTCTCTCGTGAAGTCCAATCGGCGATTTCGAAAAACAAATGAGATACTTCTATCGGTACACTAAACACATGAACGGAATGGTGCTAATTTCTTTCTTCTTTTCTTTTTTTTCCTGGTTTCTCTGTTAGACTTTATGATGCGCTTTTCCACCTAGATAATAGTTAACCCATCTCACTACAATTTCAAAATAAGAAAAATAAACTCCTCTGAAAAATCTTCATTACATTACATACTTCCCGCCATTCTTGCATAGACATATTTTAAATCCCAAAAGAAGTTTACAAATTTAAGAAACAGTATGGCCATTACAGCTAAAGCAAACCTGTAATATCCATTAGAAAACAATATGAATGAACATAGGGAAAGAAAATAGGGAGAAGATAATACTCTGAAATTGTTGGAAAACTTCGAAATGTTATTGTCACTACCCTGTTTTATAATATGCTCGCAACTTTCTAATTTTTTCCTGTGCTGTTCATCAATGTTCATACCTTCTGCTTGATCTAAATGTGACTTCACAGCCGCTTTTATTCTTTCCGCATCCTCATCACTATATCCCATTTTATTTAAAAAGTTTCTCTTATATAAATCGAACATCGCATCCAATTGCACTTCCGATTCTGCTAATAATCTGTGGACGTATAAACGTCGGGGGATTCCCCTATCACTCATGACTTCATGAATGGCGGGCTACGAAGGGTCATAGTTCCAAATAGAAAAAATAAGAGGTTAATTTTCACACTGCTGGAAATATAAATACGTCTAAGGACGCACATATGTGTGCCCTCATCAACATGTTCACTGATGCACGTTTGCCTTGTGCATACAGGTAAACTCCTAATGCCACAGCGACCGGGCTGCCATATATTCCTACAACCTTACCTCGCCGGAATACCGTATTATCCATATTAGAAGGAGAAACATAAGAACTTTAGGGAGAGTAAAGGTGGCTATCTTGTCACATATGATTCGCTCTCTACTTGAGGCATTATCATTTTTCTTCCTAAAACTTAGAACTCCATTTCTTGCCGATTCGACATCTGTACCCTCAAACGACTCCCTAAAAGTCACCTCTACCATTTTCCATACGGATACAAGTCTAGTAGTTGAAATTTGAAACCAAATGAAGTATACATAAAGGGAATTACAAACGAGGAAGAAATTTAAGAGGCAAAATACCAGAAGAAAGTACTTTGATTAAATTCCCTCATTATAAGAAAAATTGTATTTGTGCTTCAATAACACGCTATACATTATTAGAATAGGATGAGAAAATAAAAATTGCCGACAAATGTATGCGCGTTAATTTTGTCCCCTAGTCATCGCAGTGAATCGTTATGATTTAATAGATATATGTATATATTCTTCTCTTGAGCAAACTTGTGGCTTCTAAAAAATTTAATTAAAAATTTTAATGCGCCCAAAAATAGTTTCTTTTTGGTCCATTGATGTATTAAAATATTTCTACTGTCCCCAGAAACGTTCCCTAAAACTAATTTCGTATAAACAGATTTCTTCCATGCTTTAAAGCACATTAGGTGAAAGATTCACTGCATATTTTTAATAACATCGATAAAGCCATTAGGAAGACCGTCATGGAAAGGAAGTTCCTCCTTATTCTATAGCTTAAGCAACAAAATGAGAAAACCAAATAAGCATAAAATTATTATAGCAATTTTGCTACGCCTGGGGATAGGATTATTCTCCTTTTTCATCATTTCAACGAAATAAAGGCGCATAATATGTAAAACATAAATCCTAAGTAAAAGTTTTAGTTTTAAAATGAGCCCAATTCTACCTCATCTCTTACCTTACTGGTCGTCTGGTAGTTCTAAACGAAGGGCATAAACCGGGGCTTTCGTTTTGTCCACACCTCCCCCACAATATCGCAGCCTAAGTGTTATGCTATCCTGGAGCTTCCGCTAAATTTCTTCTGGTGGTAACATCAAATCCCCCCGCTGGTGTTCCACAGGGGAAAAGAAATGTAGCACTTAAAAATCTATTACTGTGGAGTCCTGCATCTTTTATTTTACCTCTAAAGAAGAATGTGCGGAAATATATTGGCAAAATGGCCCCCACTGCACACAGAGATGTAAATGCGACGGGCAGTTCACTTTTCCAATGTAGCTTACGCTAAATCAGAGGTGTTGTATTTCAATTTTGTAGCTATAAGAAATATACAAATGAACAACATTCCCGCAATATAATTCTTCTTTTCATTTTCCGTCTTTGATCGTTTTACTTCTTTGTTGCAATCTTAAATTGCAAATCTATCACCTCTTATAGGATAACACTATTGGTATGTCTAAAATAACATTTTCTTCATAGTCCATCCTAATAATAACGAATTTAATAAACTGCCGAAAAAAAAATAATTTATTACAGCACATTCTGTGGCAGATTATTTTTGTCCAAATTTTTAATCTCACCCTTGGTCTTAACATACACAGAGACCTTAATATAAGCTAACTATTCTTTCCAAAAGAATGCCATTTCTATCATATGATACGCTCCATGGGCATCCTTCGCGAATCCGTTTTGGCTTAAATACGATCAGACAAAGGACGCCAAAAAATGGAATATGGTTGTAAGCTTTGAAAACGCACATTGGAGCACAGTCGCAATTGTTCCCTAGCGAAACAAAGAAACAAACGAAAAAAAAGAAAAGCACACATATTTATACGCATTCATGTTAAAGAGGTTGATTAAAATAAATGGGCTATACCCAAATGGGGAACAAATGAGCTATTCGTCCTAAATGTAAACATGAAGCACTGTATTGAAGCACGATATGCGAGGTTTTAGAATTTTCTAGTGATATGCGTCCACCTCCTTTAAAATAATAATTCACAAATGAGAATGCTTCTCCCAGTCACACCAAGTAAGCTTATGTACGATGTAGACATATATTTGTATCTCCGCGCATGTGTACCGTTTAGCATCATTTTGACACACTTATGCTTCATGGGTATACGGACAGATCGAAAGTATTAGTTTTTTTTCTTTTTTGAAAAGGTTGAAAGGGCTGTTCGTTTGAGCACCAATAGACAGTCTCACAGTAGACCACTTAACTACCCACAAAGGTTTCCCCCTCATATAACCAACACGTTATAAATACCTTCTTCTCTCTCTCCTAATATACCATTGTTAGCTAAACTCCGATAGGCTTGTCATTCTATATGTGTCTGATGGCTTAGAAAATAATTTGGGCAAAAATAAACATTGCAAAGAGTTACAAAATTTTCAATTTCTTATTTAAGCTTTCCAATTCCCAAAATATATTTAGTAGTATAATTACTCCCATAGCGACGGGTAAGTATCCAGACTTAAAGTATGCGAGAACTATGATAAGGATGGTGACAGATGTAAGATTGTAATTTAAAACTAAATCTATGAGCGAACCGAAAATTCCTGCATATTTATAACTCTTTCTTTCTTCATTTCCCGTATCCAAGGCATTATTGGATCTGTCATCTCCCATCTCAGATTCTTTTCCATTCTGTTGATCTGTCATATTCCATTTTATCCTATCGAAATAGGACTTCACAGAACTTTTTATTGTCTGGCATTGTTCCTCATCACATGCCAATTTTTCCAAAACTTCTTTTTTGAATGTCCCATACACTTCTTCGTAATCCATTGGCGGCTCTCCTAATAATCTGTCTGCGTATTCGTGCACGGTCGCTTGTCCTCGCTGGAGGGGGGTCCCTTTCATGACACTACGGTTTGTGCTCTAAACATCGTTGTGGATATTTAAATAGGAAGAAAAAGGAAGAAATATATGAAGCGTTTACATTCACACGTGCGTACAGAGCAGATGCATCCGTACGTGAGTAATCCTTACGCCTGCAATCCCTACATCTGGACAGGGTCTGATGGCAACGCCACACTAAAAGCGCTGTTATTGGCTTACTTCGTGTGAACCCTGTGCTATCCCTATGAACAGGGAGAACATCAAAAGTTTTAAAAAGGCAGCATACTTTACCCTTCTTGGAGGACATTCTCCTGCTAACCCTTCAACGTCGCCATACCCATCACCGTTAGCTATATTTTCTGCTCCCCCCCTTCCAGAGGCAGTTCTTACATTTGCTCCACCATAACTAATCTTCATCGTTTTCTATGTTTTCACAGTTTTATAAAAACAAATAAAATCTTCAATTAGTATCATGATAAAAAAAATATTAACATACGTAACTTATCTTATGGACATTTCTACAACAGCAAAATAAATTTATTTTATGTTTACTTAAGAGAAAAATGGCAAGCACATTTATTCAAACCGTCAGGTGAGAGGTATACTAAAAATGGAAAAAATGTCAACACGAGAAAGGTCAGATAAAAAGCGGCATTTTTAGCATATTAACTTCTCATCATATTTAATTGCATTATGAATTTCAAATCAGAATTATTTATTCCTCTTTTTAGAAAAAAAAAAAAAAAATTCTAATCGTCTACAGACTTACTAATAATTCTTAAAATAAAAGAGAAAAAGAAGTAAAATTTCACCAAAAAAGCGTTGAACTGCGCTACTACGTATATTTCTCCCTTCCCCGTTCCGAATTGATTACATAAACAGGACATGGTTCCATTTGCATTTTGCAATTTCGTAATATCTTAAAATTTAAGTAGTACCAAATAGAATTAAAGAAAAAAAAAATAGCATATCAATGCGCAGATGATATATGTTCCAATTCTCTTCAAATTGTAACGCTATATTTTTCCTGCAGTGAAGAGAATGCAGTGTCTGTGATTGCAGTGCCCCAATGCATGTGCCTCATATTCCCTCCCATGTCAGTATAAATACAATTCATATACTTCTCACGATTCCTAAATCTTCGATAAAGTTGAAAAGATATGGCGAGCTACATTTTATATGCGATGTTAAGGCACGGAGCGCGGCTTTTTGTCTGTTCTCAACAAGGGAATTGTAGGCATGTACAGGGAGAGTTTAGGCACGAATACTTGCTCATCTCTTAAAAATGACGAACAAAATGCCATAAATAGTGTGGAAAAATTTGCATCCCAAATATTCCTAAACGCGCATCTATTTTTTCTTATCACTGAAAACGGGCGAAATAGACTCCACATCCAGACAGATTGACACACCATTGATACACCATTGACACACCATTGACACGCCATTGACAGACAGTTGTATGTCTATACCTATATATATGCATACGCACTTCGACAGAGGGGGGGGTGACTTTAAAGTAAACACAGTTTAGTATTTTAATCGTTAGGCATTAGTTGTCAAGTTTCATCACCTTTGATAGGCTTACATAGAATGGAAAGATAAAATCCTCTTGATGCAAAAACTATTTCTCCCTGTTCCGTTCTATTATATAATCTTTCTCGCCTCCGCCATTTTTACCCAATTTCGGGGGATAGCGGTTTCGAAATTGTCCCTTCCGCCCCTAATGGGTCACTTAAAGTCTGTGTAATTCTCCTCTTCATAAAAATTAGGAAAAAGCTTAAAGGAACTCCGTGGGACAACAATTAAGACTACTAATTTAGGCGAAATGTAAAATAAACCTTTTGAGGGGCATAACGACGGGATCGTTCCTCTTATAAAAGGAGGGTTATCTATACATTGTACAATCCACCACGCAAGAACGCTTTAAATATCTTATGCTTCCCAAAATAAGCTTCTGCCATAGATTTTGGAGATTTAATAAGCAATTTTTTCTGGCACCCAGGTTGGTAGGAATACAGCACAGATGCAAATAAAAAGAACTCGCCTTATCCACATTTTTGTCATAACAGAGATTTTATTTTAAAGTTTAGTTAATAACAGGTATAGAAAAATGGAGTTCTTTAAGAATCAATTTTTTTATAAACAGTAAAATATGCAAATGTTGGAAGGTATATAATATACAAATGCACTGTTGACGCTTTATACATACCATCACATATCTTCTAAGATATAAAGGCGGGACACATAGCTTCGTTTTCTTTTACATGCCTTATTCATCAACTCGAAGGGCAACTGCATTGCACATATTATACTTAATTATTAAAAACAAAAAATTCTCTGAAGAATGTTTGTCTAACTATTTATATACATGCAAACTATTGTGTAGCACAGAAAAAACCAAACAAAACAAAAAAAATAAAATGGTATCTAACATGTATGGAGAATATACGTATTCATATATGAAGAGTTGTTAACGTTCCATACTGAGGAAAGGAATATATTGATAAAAAAAAAAAAAAAAAAATATGATGTGATCTGATAAGGTACCATATCGTATAGTATGATATGATGCAATATAACATAGCATCCCACCTTCCTAAGGAGGGTAATCAAATATGCCCACTAAATCTCGAATTTCATAGGGGGGGAATTTTACAGATGAAAAGAATTACTCCATATTAAATTACGCATGTTATGTGATCTATAATATATTCTTCTTCTCTTTTTCTCGTTTTCCTTATTAATATAATCATTGTCATGACATCACCATCGTCGCTGTGTCATGGTTAAATTTCTACATAACTCTGCGCCACCCCAATCTTGTGCGCTTCCGGGGCTTCCTTTCGTCTAAACTGCTCATGCTTAGAAGGAATATCCGAATTGCCACAATAAACCATTTATTTTGGTTTTGGGAATAACATATCGTGCATCATTTTGAGGTTCCAGAAAAAATTCAATGTTTTCAAAAATAATATGAATAATGCAGCCATAGTAACATGAAACTGTCCGAAATATGCTGATATAACTGAGCTCGAGATAAGGAAGGAAGGGGACGACAAGAAATTGAAAAAGTTCAAATACTGTGAAAGGTTCTTAGGCTTACTATTATCAGTTGGGGTTGTTATCTGTTTTTTTCCTTGATCCTGTCTTTTTTCATTTTGTTCTTCTCCTGTTTCCTGTTCATCACCATCATTTGAAGTACCCTGTTCACCCTCCTTCTTCTTCGGTTGTGCTTCCTTACTCGCCTCTGGATCTGATGACGGTGGCATGTAAAGATTGGAAGGTTCGCACATTCCGGGGAATTCAGGTAAGAACCCTCCAGCTCCAGGCATTCCCGACATTCCAGGTATTCCTGGCGTTCCAGTCATTCCAGCCATTGTGGGTATTCCGGGTGGACACTGTAGGATGCTACAAGGGTTTTGTTGAAATTGATGAGCTAAGGCTTCAAAATCTATTTTATCGAAATATGATTTCATCATAGTCCTAATTTGATCCTGCTGATTGCTATCGCATCCCATTTTGTCTAAAAAGCTTTTCTGATAGAGATCGAACACATCGTCGAATTGGACGAATGGTTGTCCTAATAGTCTACTGGATCTCACAGCAGCTGTCCTGCCCCTGTTGTAGTGATCCCCCATGAACCCTCCCGAGCACTGCAGAAATTGGAAAATAAGTTCAAAACGGATTCATATTAAGACGTAATCATTTTTCCTTTCTTACTCCTGTGCCAGGGTGGTCGCCATTATGCGTACACAGCTCTCCTGTGGCCATTCCCATTTAACACGTATTTATCTATATATGTACGTAGGGCCCCCAATTAATCCACAGTACAAAATGCCTAATTCCTGTGACTTATTAACTTACCATGATGGAACACTGTACTAGCCACAAAAGAAGAGCAAATGTCAAAACTTTAGAAGCGGAAAATACACTCACTATTTTGGCTCTGCCGCTGTTGTTCGTTGTGTCTGCCCCATCATTATTTGAGCTGTCTGCTAGATGGTCTGTTGGCTCCTCACCAGAATAAGCAATCTTTTTTGTTTTTCCAAAAATCATCTTCTTCGTCTTATCTTCTATAAACTTTGCGAATACGTAAAAAAGAGGCACAAGGAAGCCTTATGTTGGGAAACAGTACCTTTCACTGTAACGAACAACTGCTACGTATATATAGAACAGAGATGTAAAGGGGAGGCTGGAAGGTACTTCGCACTCCCCACTTTTAAGTACGAATTGTGTACATATAAACTTAAATGTCTCCTACGGCGCAAATGCTACCCATGCTGCTACGTCAGGGGATCTTATAGATAAGTGAAGATACGAACTTTTCGAAAAGAATGTTTCAATGAACGTAAAAACCTGCTACTTTTTAATCTATTCTTGAAGAGCTCTCATACATATGTTTTGTACCTTCGATACAAAGCAACAATATTTATACGCAAAATAGTAGTATAAAATTCAAAATTAACAACAACAGAAAAAAAAAAAAGGAATAATATATCAAAAAAAGTTCGATACGCTCTGCTAACAAAAAAATTCTATGAGAATAATAAAGAATATATTTTCTGTTGTCACTATGAAAAAAATATATTAATTATTATTTTTAAAAAAATATATGCGGGTCGTGATTTGTTTTGCAATTCTATAAGCATATATACATGTAGCCAAATGTATATGACAATACAATGATAGGGAAAAAATTATTACAATAAAGAACACATAAGAAAAAGCGTCTAAATAAATATAAAAATATACTGCACAGGCAAAAGTTTTGGTCACAATTTTAAAAATTATAGAAAAAGTTTGCTATATTTTAAAGCGCCATATTATATATACGAAGATATATAAACGGATAAACTATCATATATCCTATTATACCAAAGAGAAACGGATTCAATTCATCTTGCCTCCTGTATAATTTTATATATCTGCATCTCCTGTACATGTATATCTTTTTATTTCATTATGAAAAAAAGTATATTCTACCATGAGCTATTTTAGGGCCCTGAAACCAAGGCAACTCAGGTCCCTTTTTTCTCTTCTTTAACGCTATGCTAAATGTACGTACCAGAATATATATATCTATATATATATATTGCGAAATGATGAAATATAAAGAATATGACATGTTTTATTTAGTAGTAAACCAATTGTTAGTGCTTCACCAATATGCAATAAAAAAAAAAACTACGAAAAGGAAAAATGGTATGGTTATCATTTTTTTTATATATTACCAATGGAGCGATGAAACCGTTCACCGGTAAGGGACAAACGGAATTGCAGAAAACAATATATGCATATTTTATCTCATAAATGTACTTTTCTAAGAAAATCAATCCCTTCTATACTACGCCCTGCCATACACTGGTGCCTATTGGAGCGCATTCCTATTTTCATTACTCTATGCATTTACTATTGTAAAATTAACGCGAGCCAGCCGCACAGTATTTACCTTCTATGCCTATACGTATAAGCCAATTACGCGTAGACGCACAATGTATATATATATATATATGCGACTGTAAAGAACGAAAGAACTAACCTGTTACCATTCGAACAATTCTTATAAATTGCAATTAAGAATAATAAGGGTAAGAAAACGAAATGGTATACAATACTGTACAGCGTTCCACAGGTAATATCAACAATCCATTTCTTACTATTTAAGAATTTTTAATTTAAAAGCGCGCTAAACATGCTACATCATGCGTTAACTTATTGTTCTCACCTTTATGAGTGCTATCACATTATGAGTGCCGATATAGTGGGATGACTATACCGACTGAATGTGGCAATCGGGAAGTAGAAAATATATTTGTTGTTTTTCCTCCACATGCCATTATACCTGTATTGTTACATTATATATCGTAACATTTCCCTTTCGTTTGGTTGCACTTGTCATTGATGTTTAAAGTAGCACCCTAATTAAAGTTAGTTCATTTTTTCTGATGGAGCAGAGTCCTTAAAATTGTGCTAAAGGAGGTTCACCCAAATAATCAATTTAACTTTGCTAATCTCGCCCTTTTTCAAGGCCACCTGAATCGGCAAAACACCTGTTTTTTTCTTTTCTCTTCTTCTCTTAACTATTTATTCACACCGCCTATACATAAGCATGACAAACGTTCGGTACACAAAATCGTTAGAACAAAATACCCTTCTATTCAGGTTCACCACTTCTTATGCATAAAATAGAATGTGTACCATAAGGACATGACAAAAAAAAAAAATAAAAATGAGAGATTTTTTATTGTCCGCATTGTGGCAAAAAGTTACTGTCATGAATGCAAATTTGATTAAATGTCCCTTTATCAAGGAAGCATAAAAAGGCAGATAAAAAGGGCAAATAAAAAATAATTCATCAAGTACTAAGCCATTTGAACATCCCCACGAGTACATATGTATACGTAAGTATATCTATTTGCCTACATATCCGTAATATAACAATGCGGGGTAGAATTTAACAAATCTTTTATGGAAGAAGTTTTTAATATTAAGGTTAATTAGAGAAGGCTCATATACAATAAAAATTAATTTGTTTCGTCCATATAAAATGGAAAATCTTACGTCTTTATATTTACTCCAAGTGTGAAGATATATATGTAAATAAATACTACATTTGCACACGGCAAATAAACCACTTATTTATAAATTATGAAAATATATGCGTATATAGTATTACATAATATCTACGACAGGGATATATATATATAAGAAAAGTATTTAAAAAATAGGCGTTATATCATTTAGCAACTTTAGAAGTTACAGATACGTACTAATTAAAAAAAAAAAAACTTGCAAAAAAGTATATAATTGGTATTCAAATTGTTACACAAAACAACTGAAAAGAAAAAAAAAACATACACATATATGAAAGATGTACTACATATATATATATTGTATAATAGTTGGACGGAACAGGTCATATTTTAAAAAATCTTCACAATGTAGGACACCCATATTATTGGGCTTATCCCTATGTAGGAAGGAATGTGACATAGAGGCGCCCAAACAAGTTTTGTGCGAGCATTCATCATGTAAATGGAGTCATCCTCCGTCTCGCAACTCTTAATGTGAAAATATAGTCATCAAGTCATAGTCTTATTCTTAATTCATACAAAGACTTGTCCAGCATGTCAACAACCTTGTATTTCCACTGATATGGTTATATATGCATGCTACATATAATCACTTTCTATACATATATTATGTATGTATGTTCTTCGTTCACCTTATTCGGTAGAAGGAAAAAAATGTGCCCCAAAAAAGTCGCTCATCATCATCATCTCCATCATCAACATCTCCTCCATCATCATCACCTATCTACGCAGATTACTAAAGATGTTGCCTAATTCCCTAAATAAATTCAGCCCTATAATAAACATCATGGTATATACGAAATATTTAATCTTATAGTAAGCAAGTCCAGCTAGAAAAGTTGTATTTACAGCGAATCTAGCATCGATACCAAGAAAATTCAATTTATTAACAAAACTTGCTAGTGCGCTAGTTCCTTGTCTGTTTGCTAATTGTGGACCAAGTAACAAATCCAGATTAGGCATACCTGGAAAGGCAATGTTTGCGAAGGGTTGAAAATTTGCTTGTTCTGGGGGTAGCGGAATTTGACTCATTTCCGGCTTCTGTGGTGGGAGTTTTGGTAGTGAATGTGGCTGCTGTATATCCTCAACTTCCTCCACTGCATCCTCAAATACTTCATCTTTATTGTTGGACTCATTAACATTTACTTCACTGTTTCTTTCTTCCTCAACTTCCTCCACAACTACTTGTTTCTTTTTTTCCTTTTTATTTCCCCCTACGGTAGCTTCTTCATTCTTCTCTTCCTTTATTTTCTCAACCGCATCTCCGGTTCCCTGAGCCACATTAGTACCCTTCTGTTCTCCACCTTCTTTGTTGTTATCCTTGTTTGGATCAACTCCACGAAGATTTCCTGGAACTCCATTTGCTCCCTTTTGAATTTCTCCATATAAGTTCGCATTTTTCTGTAACTCTTCTAAGAAGTCAAAATTTGGGATAGATGGTTGCCCATTTCCGCATGCACCCGGTATTGGCGGTCTGAAAAGTTCATGCAAAGCTTGGAATGAAGGCAATGGTCCTGACATTCCTAAACTTGGACCTGGGTTTTCACCAGCATCTGCTTTTGAGTCTGGACCTGGCCTTTTACCATCATCTTCCTTGGAACTGGAGGTTTCCTTCTCATCATCATCTTCCTTCGAACCTGTACCAAGTTGATGTTCTAAATCTAACCCTTCGCTAGTTTCTGGTTGGGATTCTGCATCAAAACTTGGGCTAGTTTCCGGCTGAGATTCTGCATCAAAGCTTGGGATAGTTTCCGGCTGAGATTCTCGGTCTGAGCTAGCACCTGTGCCAGCTCCGGAAGGCAAGGACATGTTTGGAGGGAGTGGACCGAAGGGACCCAACTTGTTCAGATCTTTTTGAAACTCCTCAAGCATATTGGGTGGGGGGGGGGAGGTTTCCAGGAAATTTGGTGGGAAATTAAACGGATTCAGCATACCAGGGAGGGGTGGGAACTGTTGGAGAAAATTGGATGGTATCTGAATCTGATCAGGCATATTTGGATTTGGTGCAAATTGTTGGAACATTTCTGGATTTTGTTGAATCTGTCGTTCTAAAGCCGATAAATCTAAATTTTTAAAATATGAATGCATAATATCTTTAATTTGGTTCTGTTCCTGATCTCCTAATCCCATTTTATCTAAGAAACCATCTTTGAATGTGTTAAACACGGATTCGAATTCTATTTGGGGTTGCTCTGATAACAATCTACCATTTCTTAAGGTCACTGACTTTTCCAAGTTCGGCGCCCCATTTGCGCCTCCATAGTGTCCATCCTGAGCAGAATGGAAACGGGTTCAACAAAGTAAGAAAATATGCACTAGCTACCCATTCATCTATCTAGTATGCATACGTATATGCACCACATGGGCTGTCACATCATCGTAACGCTTATGTGTGCCCGTTGCTCAGGTATGCTTCTAAAAGACTTACATTGTTGGAACTTTTAGCTATCCATACTAAGAAGGTAAATAAAGAAATTTTTAAAATGGGGCTAAGACCACTTTTTTTTTCCTTTGTATTCTTTCTTTTTGCTTCTCCCATGTCTGTAGCTGATGTAGAAACTTCGAGCTAAAAAGGTCAGCGGAAATGGGGGGTAAATCAAGTAGGTAACATAATATATCTATATATACGCTGTCAAGTGTACAAAATTTATACGCTTATATATATATACCTAATAGTATACCTCAGAATATAAGTACAATAAAAAAATCAGACGGTTTCTTTTCACCCTATTATTATATTTTCTAATGCCTTCACGTCTTCTATACAACGTAAGTATAACAGCCTCCTTAATTAAGATTCGTGAATATGGTAATAACAAATTTATAATTGAACAACGCTTCTGCAAATCATGAAGTGGCTACTAAAAAACTATTAAACATGCGAAATGAACACTTATAGAACATGTACGTAACTAATAAATTATACGTATGTATGTATATATATATATATTATTTTTTATTTATTTATTTTTTGCATAAATCAATTCCTAAAAAAAAATATAATGTTGCTGAAAATGTTTAATATAAATTTATACGTACAAAGACATGGACATTTTATTTATTTAAAAAAATAAAAATTTATTTTTAATTTTAGAGTCATTCATAAAATAGGATGAACTACAAGAAGATATTTTTTTTGTTAATAATTCAATTCCCATTACTGCGTTACAAGACGTATGCGATGCCGTATCTTTTATTTAATTTTGTAGGAGGCAAATAAAATATGGATACCACAAATTAATAAAAATTTATATGCGCAGCTCACTATATTACAGCTCGTTCTTTTTCATAATATTAATAAAACGTAGTGACAATAAATAATGCGAAAAATGCATCAATAAAATCAGTGCACAGTATAATATCTGCAAAGCACCAATTCCAGTTAGTTATCGTGCGGCATCATACAAAAAGCACAAGATGATGGTTTCTTCTTATAAGCTTAAACAAAATTGTCGCTTGAGCATGTAAAAATAAATGTGGCTTCCTCATTAGATATTATTTTAATAAATCTTGTTGTACCCATAACGGATTACTTTTCTTTTTTCTTATTTTTTTTTTTTTACGACCGCGCGGAATCAGTGTCAGAAAAAAGGAGTCCGTTATATTTCTTTTGCGAGGTCTCGCCCAAAAGCAATGCGCAGCGCTAGTTAAAAGATATATAATATACCTTCAAGCAAGACATAATCATATAATAATCCTGCATTCCATAACTGCATATACGTAGCGGAAGCAACATATATTAAATAGATTATACCACGCTGGTTTCCACAACAAGCCGAAGAAGCATACGAGCTTTAAGCTGCCCATATAATGCTGCTATTATCTTGCATTATGTTGTATGCATTATATTACATATAAATAATTTCTCTTGCATGTATTTTTACTTATAAAACGTGCTCCCGCTCCCCTGTTGCATTTTATCGAAGTAAACATATAGTCCATTTTTAAAGATTGAAAAAAAAAAAAATTCAAAACATACGTTACGTACCTATTTTGATTTAAAAAATGTACATGCAAAAAATAGTATACAAATATTTATGTATACCTTCTTTGTTGGCACCATTTTTTTAGATCCCATATTCATTTTCATATCTGAGTCGATACCCCCGAAATGCATGAATACCAAAACGGGCTCTTTATACTACTACCCCACCAAGAACAAAATTCCTCGCCTTCTGCCATAAACACGAACAGGGGAGAAGAGGCAGAAAAGCTCAAAAAATATGTCATTAAATTACAATATAAAAAAAAGTCAGTGATAAAAAATATGGCAAACCTCATCTTTTCATATGCCTACTTAAGAAAAAGTGAATATGGGGCACCACACATGTTCTCATTTAGTGCTTAAAAGAATATATGTAATCTTTATAACAAATTATTCTAGCCCATTATTGTTGTAATTTAAAAGTGCTATGCAATGAGAAGGAGAGTAACCATCGATTCTCGGTTAATCATCTCTAAGGTCTTTGACAAAAAGATATATAGCATCTTTTATTCTGAGGAATATGTACAGAAAGATGTCCTATTTAACCAAAATTTCTTGCACATAAAAAGGAAGATTCCAAATTTAAAGGGTAACAATATCTTGTTTTAATTCATAACGTGATTGAAAAAAACATGCACTTTCTATAAACGGCCTTTAAGTACAGCAGCGTAGTAATTTAATTAAAACAGATTTGCCAGCATATCTATCATCTGTTTACTCCTAGAGGGGCTTCACAAAATTGGCCAATCTGTGAAAAGCGCAGTTATTCCCTTATCACATGGGAGAGTAACAATGCCCATAATAATATTGTAAATATTAACAAATGTGCGCATTTTTTATACATTCCCATTACACATAAATAAGAGGCGAAGCTTAATGGGGCGTCTTCCCTAAGAAAACACCCCACTTTTCCACCCTAACTCTCTTCACAAGCTAGTAGATTTATTTTTTCTCAAGCTTAGCACCGAGTGCGAAAAAGGATCAAAACATGGATGACTCCTATGGGGAAAAGTTCCTTACGAAAAAATTAGGCAAACACGTCGTATAGTTATTTATATATGAACCTATTCGT